CCAAGACACGAGGCAGACATAGGGAAGACCAGAGCCCAAGGGCCCAAGAGGGATCCTGAGCGCAGAGCCCCAAGGGGCACCTGCACGGGAAGATCCGCCCCCTCATATCAGACCATAGGGGAGAACTGGGAGAGTCCCCCCAGCAACCACATGCACAGCCCCCGGGGCCAGCAGCGACAAACTCATGGGCCCCACCGGCGCCCTCCATACCAGAGCAGATCCAGGAAAGGGCACAGAGGTCCGGGCCCCCARGGTGCACCCCCTCCAGGCCAAAGCCCGACAGGCCCAGAGGCCCTGAGCCCCAGCAGGCAGTTACCAGGCCAGGCCGGCACACACCCCAGCGCCCAGCCCCAGACCCTGGGATCCCCCAGCACGCCGGTGGCCAGCCGCACACCCCACCGGGGGGCCGAGTAGCAGCGGTCATGTACTGCCACATAGCGAAATTATCCCGTTTGCTAGAAAAACGCCTTCACCTATTCAGGAACTACATTCATGTCTTTGAACACTTTTAACAAAAGCAATTGTGGCTAAAGAAAAGACGTATATGAATGCTATTCAATTGCCTTTACATTTAATAATTTAGACTTTAGTTCTAGTCTGTGATTTCACTCATAACACCCTAAGTTTTAAGTACTTTGTGTATTACACTTAAACAAAAACAACTTGACGATTGCAAGAAAGTGTTTTGAAATTGGAAGCCCAAATAATGCGCAGAAAACCCAATCCAGTTTTCAGTTAAAAGCTTATTTTCAGATCTCACAATTACATTTCATCCTCAGAGCCTGTTTATTTCCCTGAGAGTAATCAAAACAAAATGGCTTCTAAATCCTGCCTCTGCTTGCTAAGGATGCAAGTTATCGATTAATGGATTAATCTAAAGTTGATTGATCTTATGGATTGACTAACAATTAATTGATAAGCGGCCATTTTCCTAAAAACCTGACATTTCTCTTGAATCAAGGGTCTTTCTATACCATGAATGGCTAACTTTTTACTCTAAATAAAACAAAGTACAGTATTATATTTTATTAAATTTATTGTGCCAGCTGTATTAAAGAATGACTGAACAAACAGAAAATTATGGATTTCTCACACATTATTAAACTAGGACATATTTATAAAATATAACAAAACGGGAGTTTATTAGGTTGCTAGTTAGAATAAAAAGGAAAGAAAAAAAAAGTTAAGCACTTGATCCACCCTGAACAGAGAAATATGACACTAACATTTAAACACAGGGTAACATTTTAATCTAAAGATTTACTCAAAAACAAACTATGAACATGACCTGAGAGGAGTGAATGTACAAATGAGTACTGGAACTGTGTTTGTTTACATTCCCAGTGGTTCATGCTGCTGCCATGATTTGACGTCAGTTACTGTTCATTTGATTTGTTCACTGGCTGGGTTATGTCACACAGATGAGATTAACTTCATGTTAATTATTTGTAGTGACTAACTTTTTTTTTTAATTTTGTTCTTTCACGGAGTTAAACTCTACAAGAAAAAGGCTAACATTAGCTTAAGTTAGCTTACTGTTCGCTGGCACATGAATCCACCATTTGTTTAGTCCTCCTCTCGGGCCAAAAGTATAAAAACCCTCCAGATTTTTCTGACTGAGGCTTAAAGTTATTTGTTGAGCAGCAAAAAGGTTCCGGACGAAGGAATAATTAAAAAAGACGCGAGCAGCAGGTCAGCCGAGGAGAGGGGAGGAGGGGAGGCTGCTTCAGAACCACTTATACTGGGTCCAAGTCAGACAGAACCAACAAGAATGAAGC